ACTTTATCTTTTCCATCAAATTTGGCAGTAATCTCTAGAAACCTTGGCATACCAGTAGATTAAATACTGAGGGGGCAGAAAAAGTCACCTAGATGCCAAGTGCTAGTTTTGCAGAAACAGACTTAATCAGCCACACATCAATAATTAGCTTTTTGGAAATCTGAGGATTAGGAATTGCTACTAAACCCACATGAGGTACTTTCAAGCTACTGAAGCCTGGCAATGGCCACCTTCCATAAACACACTTCCCTGTTTCATGTTTCAAGATTAACATCAGACTTTGCTTAGACTTTAGGCTACTTTTTGAATAAAAGCAAGTTAAGTTGCTGAGATGCACTTAATACTTTGGTCAGTAAAGAGAAATGAAGGTGGCTACGAACACCTGGATCAGGGTCATTCCCATCCTCTCTCCTTCTTTAATTGCATCATCTAAATCAATTTTACCTTATGATTCAAGATCTCATTCATCCTTCTAGTAGCCTCTGTGGTGTGAGACTCCGGGAAGTATTTCTTGGGCACAACACCATACTTTTCTAAAAGAAAGTAATAAAACAATTGTCTTTTCCATCCAGCAGATGCTAGTGCTTCTGCTTATACTCACATAAAAGCTAAATGTAGTTGGGTTTTATGCAGAGATAATAAAAGAAAGTCTCTTATTTAAAGGTTACAAATATTCAAAGTTTACATTTTCATTTGTGACTAAATCTTGACCTCTAAGCTGCAGTCCACAGGGATCCCAAAAGGTGGAATCCCTGAATGGCTTGGTATCATTTAATTCAACACTTAAAAGTTCTAAACTAATTAAGTTCTAAACTTTTTAAGAAGCTTTTTTCAACCAGAAAAAAAACCTGATTACTTTAAAATTAAGCTCCAGAATTATCTTCTAAACAACTGAGCCTCTTCTAAATTATGCCATGTATTTTATCTAAGATTGACCAACTTCCCAGTCTCCTTTCCTCCTCAACATTTGTAAAACACCAGCAACAGCTCAGTTGCTTCCTACATTATGGAACCCATCAAAGATCACACCATGCAAGGCTCTGGATGCAACAGCAGCATCCAAAGTCTTCTCTGCCCTGATTAAATATTTATAACAATTGGATGGGAAAAAAGTAACCTCCAGGCTTCAAAGAAACAAATTCCTTTTGTGATTCTAAACTTACATTATTGGCTTGTTGATTTACAAAGGTGTTGCATTGCTTCACAATGCAAATGAAAGCAAATGGCGGTGTAATTCAGACAGGGAGAAGCATCTCCTTAATCAGCCTAAGGAGGATCCCACTTAAACTGGATCTTTGTAAGACCAGCATTGCCACATTCCACATCATTTCCCTCTCACTGATCTTGATATCATCTTTCTTCCAGCTGCAACTCTGAGTACTTTTGCTTCTGCCTTGTAGGCACACCCTGGTCTAGCAATGTTTTTTCCTTACTATGTGCCCTAAAAATTGTGTACATGGATATAAACAAACAATGTAGAGTTGATGACTGAAGTAAAAGGGGGTTGAACCTTTTTAGTAAATGGGAAATCTTGGATATCTAATGACTTCTGTTGATCTTCTGAGCTTCTATCATAAGCAGCAATATGCAAGAGTGAAGATCCCAGACAAGACTTAAGCCTAATATTTATAAGCTGGCGTGGAAAAGGTCTTTGATTGAAAAAAGGTAGTGGGTAATGGCATTGTGCTCCCTAGCAAACTCCCAGGTCTCCAACTCCACTTCTTCCTCTATTTCATTCCGCATCTCTCCAGCCAGCGTGCAATTGCAGGAAGGGCTCCTAGCGACCAGTTCTCTTACCAATAACGTTAACCAGCATATCCCACTGTCCACCATCATTCGTGGGGTTGGAAAGCAGGAACTGTATCAGTCTCCCCTCCACAGGCTCCTTTTTCTGAGCTGTTTCCACAAAGGCATTTAAAAAATAGTAACAGCGTTCAACCTGGAATGGACAGACAGGAAAAATAAGATATCTGAAGGGTGACATCGTGCATTAATTCATTCCCGAGTATTCAGTTCTTCAGAAGCCCCAACTAGGTGAAGCTACCTTCTGCTCACCTACTGAAGTTCCCTCTAGCATTCCAGGGCTTATCCTATGAACTTATTTCTGTCACAGACCTCAGATTTAGGAGTTCACACAGAGCTTGAGGGTAGGGGAACAGGAAATGTGAAACAGATGTTAGGCAATAAAGCCTGGCCCAAACTAGTATTGGATTTTCTCAATTTCCCTTAGAAGAAAAGAGCAGGCACACAGCTCACAGACCAGCAGGTCACAGGTACGACTGAAAGCTCAACAGAAAGTTACAGACGTGTTCCCCCAAGCCTCCTACAAGTAACTTTTGAAATACGCACAGCGCTTGAAAGATGACTTCTACTGTTCCAAGACACAAACATCTTGACAGCTAACTCCTCGAGCTGAAAGCCCCAATTTGCTCAACCAACATTTGAAGAACTTTTGAAGTTTCGCCTCACGTATGCTTTCCACCTAGATTGTTAAGATGGTCCAGCCTAAAAGAAGTTCTGTCCCAATACTAACACCCGATTGCATGAGCCGTCCTAGCACAACCCGCGACCTGTGCTGCTGTACCTTATCCCAGAAAAAGAGATAGGACTGGCTGAATTCAAACTCTTCAATGTTGTATTTCTTCATGAAAGGAAGACGCATTGCATTGAGACAGGAAAAGATCCAACATCTCCCTGAGAGATCAAAGGAACAAGAATTAAACTGGAATGCTTAAGAGCTGTGTAAGAAATTTTTTTTTTTTTTTAAATACAAGATTCATGACAGCGTTCCGCCTCGAGCCCTTGGCCCGCTGTTCTGGCTGGGATTGTAAAATGCCAAAAAGCTCATGAGAAGTTTGGAAAGCTTCTACTGCAGACGCAGGTCTCTCAACTGATTTTATCTCATACAGAAGGGAAAACAGACAAAGGCTGCAAGCCCAAAGCCTGTTATTAACACCGGAGGATGCTGCAGGGGTTCAATTCCGCTTTGAGCCTGACAAAAGGGCTTCGGAGGCGGCCGCGGCTCCCGGGAGCGCAGTCAGCATGACATCATCCCCTCCCCAAACGCCAGAGCCGCCGAGGGAGCCCACCCCTCCTCACGGCGAGCCCCGGCCCCCCCGCGCTGCCCACCCGGCA